AATTTTTATAATAACTTTTATAACGTGTGACTCACTTCTTTATCACTATAACTATTTATAATTTCCACCATATTTTTTACTTTATTAATTTTCGTCTTTTCTAGTTTTAATAATATTTCGCCGTTACTACTACTACTGGACGTGTCCAGTAATTCGTTTAATACGACAAATATTTTTTCTACCATCGTACCTCTTTGCACTGAAATGCACCGTCAAAAGCCCTCAGTGCATTCGAGTGCGTCCTATGGCAGTGAAATAGCTCAGTCGAACATAAAGAGTTCACTACACTGTGGTAGTTATCCAATCGAACCCATTTGTATTAGGTGCATTCAGTACTACGACCGCTCACTGAGCGTTCAGTGAGCTCTTAAGGCCCGTCTACAATACACGGAGTAAGAAGTAAGAGTAAGAAATTGACCAATCACAGTCGAATGTGAGAAGAATAATCGACTGTGATTGGTCAATTTCTTACTCTTACTTCTTACTCCGTGTATTGTAGACGGGCCTTTAGATTTGTTCGCGTCGCTTACTCCAAATTAACCCAGAGAGCATTTGGATCACCGGTAGGATGGCGGTTGGAGCAGTTGGATTCATGTGCTCCAACGCTCGGTGACACGAACGGATTTAGGAGAAGTTGGGACAAACGTCCTCCAGAAAAAAAGCGTCGCTCTGCCTCATGGACCGCGATTAATCATTAAATTGAGCGCCACTCTCGTTAAAGTTGACTACAGAACATAGGTTAAGATATCTGTAAGAACCATGAAATACTTCTCTCAACACTACACATTCTCAATCATTACGCATGCGTGCGTAACATGTCCCAACCGCACCACCTTCTGAGGTGAAGCAAATAGAGCATGCTCTTAATTGATCCATGGAGTATGCTCTAATGTGACGCGAACATCTAATCGCCATATTGGTTCCGGTGACGTGACATATTGGAGCACGTTGGAATGAACAGGAGCATATTGGAGCGTGCGACGCGAACAAACCTCTTGTACCTGTTTGGTCTATATTTTTAGATCTAACGGAATATGCCAATCAGATCCAAGAGCTCACTGAGCGCTCAGTGAGCGGTTGTAGTACTGAATGTACCCATTGACACTAATCTAGTGCAGTTATGAATCGAACACAAGTGGCAGATGCACCACTAGAGGATAACCTCAATCGAACACGCTAAAAAACTGAGAGAAGGCGCACTCAATGCACACTAGTGCGCACTAGTGCATCCAATCGAATTCGCCATAAGATGAAATGAAATAGAAATATGTCACTAGTACTATAAATGGTTGTCAAGTCACGCAATTGATTAGATTGCAACAGCAAATCAGAATGCATAACACCGGTTGCGCCTCTTTGATAAATCTAGGACTCTACATGTAATCAGCTGCGGTCACAATATGGCTACTACTTAAAAAGGGATACCCAATCAGAATACATATCAGACTACCAATCAGAAACTCAGACATCAATGTCGCTTCTCTCTATATATAGGACTCTAGTCTTCACAAGCCACAAACTTGTTGCTTCAGCCAATCCGAGGCGTCAATTTAAAATCGCACGATGCTTTCGACGCTTGCGACGCCTACAATACGATTAATGTTGAACCAGCTTAAGTCCGGATCTACAAAAGGTGTTTTAAGCCTTAAGCCGTAAGAAATTAACCAATTGCAGTCGAATCCGAGAAGAATAAGCGACTATTAGTCCGGATCTACAATAGGTGTTTTATGCCTTATGCCGTGAGAAACTGACCAATTACAGTCGAATCCGAGAAGAATAAGCGACTGTGATTCGCCCATTTCTTATGGCTTAAGGCTTAAAACCCTATTGTAGATCAGGGGTTATTCGCCCATTTCTTATAGCTTAAGGCTTAAAATTCTATTGTAGATCCGAACTAAGAGCATCTTAAATCTAAGGATATATTCGCACAACCTGCATAGCCGCATAAACATGCATCATGCCTAGTTCAGGCTGAACTTAGTAAGCGTCAAGCAGCGGAGCAGCAACCAATCAATAAGGCGATATTTATAGTGGCGAAAAAATATCGCCTCACTAATTGGTTGCTGCTTCGCTGCTTGAGGCTAAAGTTACATGAAGCAGTTCATGTTGCAGCCATCGACATCTAGAATGGACCGCTGATGGCAATGGTGGGGGTAGAAAGACGTTTAGAGTGAGAGACAGGAATAATAAGATCGTTCTTTCTCTGTTTACTGAAGCCTGATTGGTTGTTGTTAATCCAACAACCAATCAGGCTGTTAGAAACAACAGCAAACAGAGAAAGAACGATCTTATTATTCCTGCCTCTCACTCTAATCGTCTTTCTACCCCCACCATTGCCATCAGCGGTCCATTCTAGATGTCGATG